TTTTTTTTTTTATGCGCGTACCCAATTATCGGTCATAATTATTGAAAAAATAGGCGCAGCACACTAGTCATCATCAAAAGTGTTTAGCTATTTTAGACATATATTTTTCCGTTAAATTGCAACACATCTTACCTCGGTATTTTGCACGAAAGCCCTTGTATTGTTTATTTTGGGCGGCATCGGTTGTAAACCTCACGTAAAGGTTCTTTGATAAGCTGATGAGAGGAAGAGGTCGCGTGGATCCACTAAATTTTCCAATCTCCGGAGAGGAGAGTGATGTGCCATCATATACAGTTAGGTAATCGTCATATAACTCGGTGTCAAAACGATCGAATGTAAGTTCCACCCATGCATTTGAAGTTATATTCCACTGACAATCCATATTGTTTTCGTACCGCTCTCCACGCTTATTTGACTGTATAATGCCATCTATTGTAGTTAGCTCAACCGTCTTATTTGGACAGGTGCTGGTAGAGTTCACCTCAGGCTCTGTTAAATTAATGGCAAATAAGAACAATTTACTTCAAACAGTTACTGTTTTCAAAATCCGTTATTTATAGTTTCACAATCACATACAATCCCTGCAAGCACTGCAGTGTCGTGCTGGAAGGCTATTTTTTAATTTGCCACGAGACACACCATTAATACAAGATATGGAACTCTCACTATGGGACTCGATTTATGACGTGTATAAACGAAGTCTTGTCAAACTAATCTATAACATAGCTAGCGATAATATGCCCGCAATGATTTCAAATTTAGTTGTATGGCGTAATAGTCCGTATAACTTAAGAGGACATAATAAGGCCGTCGTTCCACGATTTTCCACTTATTTCATGAAAAATTCTGTTTGTTACAGAGGGGCCGTATTGTGGAACTGTGTGTCAGAATATTTCAATGATTCTTGTAATTTTAAACAATTTTATTCCAAGGCAAAATCTAGTCCGATATTTAGGGAAATCAGATTTGCGATAGAGTAAGTTAATTTCTTATATTTCATTCATTTTATCAGTAGGTAATCAGATAATTACGTAATTAATTAGATACACGACCCCTCAAGCATGTAGTGCTTAAACGATAATCGTGTTTTAAATAAAGGATTTTACTTACTTACTTATTTACTAAGAAAAATAAAAAGGAAAACACAATATATGATATTCATATAAAAAAAAAAGGGCCTAGAACAGTTCAGATAGTAATTTTGCATTGCCTAGACCTAAAAACCCGTCATTTTGATTTAAACACATTGTCTATGAAGCAGCTATTACTTCAATCTCCAGCAAGGTGGGAGAATTACATGAGTTCCTGTATGGCTTGTTCTATTTAGGTTTCTAATTCTGTTACGAATGAAATTGGCCAAAACGTTTAAAGTTCTTCCTCGTTTAGACATGAAGTTCGCTGAATAAACAATTCTATCATCGCCCTCCGTTTTTGTTTGTTTGTTTTTGGTCTTGATGATGACGATGACGATAATGATGATGATTTTACCGATGTAATACAACTTCTTTGGGCACTCACCACCACAATGTTGTCGCCCGTCGCCTCCTTTGCCTGCGGCACATCTGCAATCGTAGTAGCCAGGAATATTCACACACTGGGCTAATTTGTGGCACGAATATAGATTCATTTTGCACTCGTCTATATCTGTTTCGGTAGAGAATTTAAAAAAAAAGTCCTTCATTGTGCTAAAATAATACGTTTGGTACAAATTATAACGAAAATGGATGATTATACTGATTAGGAATTCCAACGACTTCCATATGATGCCAATTCATAACTGAAATGAATAAAATAAATAAGATTTTGCAATGGCACATCCCACAGAGAGGCTCTTCGTACAATGTTTTCAGATCGAATTGGATTTTAGAAGTGCGGTTTTCCCGCTAAGAGAAGGCAATGTAAAAAAAAACAAACAAACAACAAATGTCAGTCTCAGCCGGGTTTTACAGCATTTCTGTTTCTAAGAAAACTAGCTGTTATATTGTTCAGAATTATTTTAGCCACCATTCAAATTCTAGTTGGGATAAGAAGATCAGTTGTAATATATGTATAGTAAATGGTTTGAACCCAGGAGTATCAGTAGTTCGTATAGTGTGATCGTCCGGGTAAGGGTAGTTCTGAAAAGAACTGTTGTTGGTGACTGA